CAGAATTATAGCTATAAAGTGAAGGCATACGAAAGGAATATTTTTCTACAGTTATCCCTAGTAACAGGTGATGGGCTAGAGAAAACGTAATTCTTCTGACACTTCTACAAACCGTTTGGTAAACATCTCATATATATTTGTATAAATTTTTATACTGTGGGTGCATGTATCATGTTTGTGTGTTACATAATGTGTTTCTTATATAATTTTGAAAAAAATATAGATAGATTAAGGGAAATGTCTATACAGTGGACCCCCGCATAACGATTACCTCCGAATGCGACCAATTATGTAAGTGTATTTATGCAAGTGCGTTTGTACGTGTATGTTTGGGGGTCTGAAATGGACTAATCTACTTCACAATATTTCTTATGGGAACAAATTCGGTCAGTACTGGCACCTGAACATACTTCTGGAGTGAAAAAATATCGTTAACCGGGGGGTCCACTGTATTAACGTAATATGCGACATTAATGCGCCCAAGAGATTATTATTACTATTATTATTATTATTATTATTATTATTATTATTATTATTGCATCAAGAGTAGAGAGACTCTTAGTGATTTTAATGTGTACCTACATGCCAGCACAGTGTGTAAGTTTATTTAGGTACAGGTGTACACAAGTTTAATTATCAAGCACACTGAGCTAGAAATCTATACAGATATTGACGAATGTATTAATAATTTTCTAAAAAAGACCCAATACCTCTATAACAAGCACTTCCCTAAAAAAACTAAACAGATGACAGCAAAGAGACTGAACAGTCCCTGGCTAACACCCAGCATTCTCAAATCCATAAATACAAAACACCAATATGAAAAACAGTACAGAATGGGTCACATAACCAGAGACCAAACAAAACGTTACTCGTCAATCCTAACCAGCCTGATAAGAAGGGCAAAAAAATTGTATTATGAGAACAGATTATCCAACTTACGAGGTGATATAAAAAAGACCTGGAAAAACCTATCAGAAATTCTGGGAACAAAAAGATATCACGAAATAGCGAAATAAAATTAGCAAAATCAGATGAACCCCAACTCCCACCAACAGAAACAGCAAACAGACTCAATGATTTCTTCTCCACTATAGGACAAAACCTTGCCAATAAAATCCCAAGCTCAGATACCCCACCAAATGACTACCTCACCGGCAACTACCCGAACACACTGTTCCTAGCTCCGACTAAACCCATACGAAGTCTCCCTTATTATCAATGCACTAAAAAACAAGGCAGGAGATTTAAGTACCTTACCACCCTTTATATACAAAAAAGTGTCACAAGTGCTATCTCCAATCATTGCAACACTCTTTAACAAATCCATCGAATCCTCCACCTTCCCCACAGTACTCAAAATAGCAAGGGTCACCCCGATCCACAAAAGGAGGAGACCAAACAGAGTTGAATAACTATAGGCCAATATCCAACTTACACCCTCTCTCAAAAATCTTCGAAAAATTAATCATAAACGAATCTACTCCTACCTTATCTCCCAAAACATACTCAACCCCTGCCAATTTGGATTCAGGCCTAATAAAAATACTAATGATGCTATTATACACATGCTAGAACATATATACACTGCAATAGAGAAAAAAGAAGTCCCACTGGGATCTTCATTGACTTACGTAAAGCTTTTGATACAGTTGACCATTGACTTGCTCCACATAAAATTGTCACACTATGGTATAAGAGGGCACTCCCTCAACTACCTCAAGTCATACCTCAGCAACAGAAGCCAATATGTGTACGCAAATGGGGCAAACTCTTCTGCGCAACCAATTACAGTTGGTGTCCCACAGGGAAGTGTCCTTGGCCCTCTTCTCTTTCTCCTATACATAAATGACCTTCCAAATGCTTCGCAATTACTCAAACCCACACTATTTGCAGATGAGACTACATACGTCTTCTCTCACCCGAGCCCAGTCACACTAGCCAATACTGTAAATACCGAATTACAGAAAATATCTACCTGGATGAGGACTAACAAAAATTACACTAAACATTGACAAAACCTACTCATTCAGTTTGGTAACAGAGCTTCAGATGTCCCCCTTAACATAATGATAAACGGATCACCTATCACAAAGCTAACAGAGGGAAAATTCTTAGGAATCCACCTTGATAATAGACTCAAATTTCATACACGTATACAACAAATTTCTAAGAAAATTTCCAAGACTGTAGGCATACTATCGAAGATACGGTACTATGTTCCACAGTCAGCCCTCCTGGCCCTATATCACTCTCTTATTTACCCCTATCTCACCTACGGAATTTGTGCATGGGGCTCAACAACAATTAACCATCTCAGACCACTAATTACCCAACAAAAGGCTGCAGTTAGAATGATAACAAATTCTCACTACAGGCAGCACACTCCACCAAAAATTCAATACACTAAAACCTACTCACCATACAAAACATCCATACTTATTACTGCACCTATTACATACATAGAAACACTTAACTCTGATATTAACCTCCCCTCAAACATCTCCTTGCCAACCTCAACAGAACACATGACCATAACACAAGGCACAGATCACTCTTTGATGTTCCTCGTGTTCATCTCACACTATGCAAAAACTCAATGCACATAAAAGGCCCTAAAATCTGGAATTCATTACCTGTAAATATAAAAGAAACACTCCCTGTTTATAAATTCAAGTCTCTACTCAAAGATCACTTACTCACCCAAAACCAAATAAATACTGAATAACTGAACCTTATAAATTGTATATCTTAAATGTTTCTCACAATTATATCACATAAATGTTAAACCTAAAACCGAATCTAACTTTATTATTTTTTAAATACACTACCTAACAGAATCCTTCATATGACTGAATGCAACCATATGACCTGTCTTTGTAATACTCACTTGTGCTTTATAGTAATCTGTTTACATTAATGTTTTATCACTGAATTCATCATTGCTTAGTTAATCTTAAGTTAATTTTAAGCCAGCCCGTAATGCTATGCATAGTATAAGTGGCTTTGGCATGCTGCTCTTATCTGTATTTTTTTGTACCTCTGTATGTGTGCTCAAATTTATAATAAATAAATAAATAAACAATACATATAAAATATACAATAACTTTAAAACACTTGAAATTTTGGAAAGTTTCCAGACATAATAAGGAGATGTGCTCAGGGAGAATGTAAACAAACTCGGTGGGCTGCTGTGACCGTATTAGAAAGACAAGTGGGGGGAGCCGTATAGCGAGTTTTGGTCATAATTTGAAATGTCCGTATTAGCGGAACGCCGTAAAGCGGGGCCATCCTGTAATATATATATATATATATATATATATATTATATATATATATATATATTTTATATATATATATATATATATATATATATATATATATTAATTATTTATTTATTTAAAAATGCCGACTTTGTGATCTATTTTCGTATAGTATTTATGGTTGTTTTCTCGTTTTCTTGGTCTCATTTGATAGAATGGAAAACATATTATAGAAATTGTGGTGATTTTGATTGGTTTTACTATAAAAATAACTTGGAAATGGAGGTCAAAGTAGGGGAAATGTTTGATTTTTGCCAATGTTCAAAAGTAAACATATGTCATTGTCCAATAAGTGCCCAACAAGCCATTCTAATATGCAGTCATGAATGGGTTGACATTATTTATAAAATTATTACAATATTGCAGTAGTCTGCATAACAGTAAATCTTCTATTTTTTGTTTGAATAAAAATTCAAAATAGAAAGCAAGAGTAATATCAGAGGGGCCTGGAGACATGACTGATGAACAAAGAAAATGTTATTTTAGAGCCATGAATGTCTGCATTGTTCATTCTGGATCCTATTTTGAAATTGTCATATTTTTTAATTTTCGTGAAATTGGCCAAATTGCAAAATTTCTGACCACGATTTTGGTCGACTGGAACAGTGGAACTAGCCGAAAATAGGGCTCAAAGTGGATGAAATCGCCGAGGTCGCTAACTTTGCGAGAGTGTAATTCCATCAGTTTCCATCAAATTTTTTTTTTTTTTTTTGGTGTCATTACAATCGGGAAAAGATTCTCTATCATTTCATAAGAAATTTTTTTTTTTTTAAATTTTGCGACACCAGGAGGCGCCTCAGGATTGGGGGTTGCGACAGTCAAGGGGTTAAGGGAGATGTGTATATTAATGTAATATACGACATTTAATGGGCCAAAGAGATTATTATTTTTAACATGGTGTATAAGTAGAGACAGTGATTTTAATGTGTACCTGCATGCCAGCACAGTGTGCAAGTATATTTAGGTACAGGTACACACAAGTTTAATTATCAGAGTGCATATAAAATATGCAGTAACCTTAAAACACTTGAAATTTTGGAAAGTTCCCAAACATATGAGATGCGCTCACGGAGAATGTAAACAAACCGGGTGGGCTACAGTGACTGTATTAGACAGGTGGGGGGGAACTGTATAGCGAGTTTTGGTTATAATTTGAAATGTCCATATTAGTGGAATGCCATAAAGCTGGGTCCTACTGTGAGTACTCTCACCACACATGCTCACGCAGGCACACATGCTTGCACACACCACATGCTCGCACATGCCACACCTTCCTACGTCTGTGTCCCTGTATTGTTTGTAATGGCTTGACAAAGCTCCTGGAGAATGAAAAGTTGCCACAATAAAATGTCACATTAGTTGCACTTGTCCTTTTACTTAACATTATTACAGTATAGTACTTCACTTATATATCATATGTAAATGCTTTGTTCAAGTCTTCAATTCAGTAGAATGACCTGAATATCTGGCTATTGAGGCAGCTAAACTGACTGCCTTTCGAACTTGTTCAGTTATTGCACTTCTTTTTGTATTTGATGCTCAGTATTCTGGATTGCTGAACTAAAGCCTAGAAAATTAGCAAGTAATCTAGTGCTAAGAAGTACCATGTATGTGATCTATTAAGCTAGACTAAGCTATACAATATATTCAATAGATTCACAGTTTCTTTCACTTTACAGATGCCTACGCTTATTAGGGATCGACTACCTAGTTCCCAAGATAAAGGAGATGTCAGACAAATCAAAAGCTCTTAGGATCATCTCCGCCATCAATGATAAGATATCGAGTCGTTACAGCAGTAGTGATGTTGCCAGAAGGAACAGAGTTGTAAGTTTAAATTTTGAAAAGTCTTAATATATTTAGTTCTGTTGTGCTTGTGGGATCTTTCTCTATGCAGTTAAGAAGTGAAACCTTGAAATGCTTGGGCACTCATCAATGCCTGTCTCTGTGAAACTTTTCTGGGTTCACTATGTAAGAGCATACCGTGGACCCTCGGTTATTGGCTGAAATCTGTTCCAGAAGCTCGGCCTAAAACCAAAATGGCCAGAAACCGAAATAATATTTTCCATAAGAATTAATGTAAATACAATTAATCTGTCCCAGACAAAAATATTCACACAAAAAAAAAATTTTAACAATTAAATCAGTATTACATACCTTTTATTGAAGACTAATGCTGGCTTCTGGAATGCCTGCTACACTCCCTGTATGCCTGCTACACTTCACACTTAAATTCCATGGTGTTTCTCACTTTCTTTACCATAGGAACTTTCTTTGGAGCCATGGTGTACTTATTTTGCAGTTGCACTGCAAAAAACCCACAGAAAAAAATGGAAAACAAGTGAAATGTTTGGATGTATGAGCAGAAGCTTCCTCGCGCACTGAGACACGGCTAAACTGACGCGCAAGCAGCCCCAGCCAGCGGACGGATGCGTCCGAAACGGTCGATCACCGAGTTGGCTGATAACAGGAACGGCCGATATCTGAGGGTCCACTGTATAAGGTAGCTCATGATCACATTCAGCTGACCATGACTATGCATCATATTTGGTTGAACACGATGTAACTGCATCATGTTGAGTTCAAGAATATGATGTAACAGGGTTGACTGAAGATTCCTAATACATTAATACCTGTATCCACATCCAGGTCATCGTATCTTTATTATCACTCAAAGATGGTGCTGATGTTGCATATTTCTTGAATGAAAACAGTGGGCTACTTCATACTGTTGTGCCAATATTTCAATAATTATTCCCATGTCCTGGTCCTCATGATTTACTTGCTCTCAAGTCTGCCTTTTATGCTCTGAAAAGGAGGTGCATATCAAAATACAGTGGAACCTCGGCTTGTGAATTTAATCCGTTCCGTGACCTTGTTCGTATCTCGATTTGTTTGTATGCCGAGTCAGTTTTCCTCGTTTAACCCCTTGACTGTCGCAACCCCCAATCCTGAGGCTTCTCCTGGTGTCGCAAAATTTAAAAAAAAAAAAAAAATTATTTTTTCTTATGAAATGATAGAGAATCTTTTCCCGATTTGTAATGACACCAAAAAAAAAAAAAACGAAATTTGATGGAAAACTGATGGAATTATGCTCTCGCGAAGTTAGCGACCTCTGCGATATTTACAAATCGGCGATTTTTGCCCACTTTGAGCCCTACTTTTGGCTAATTCCGTTGTTCCATTTGACCAAACTCATAGCTATTTCTTTAGAACTCCATTTTTTCTATCAATTGAGTACAAAAAACTGCCCATTTACCGATATCAACTACCCAATAATGTGGTCAGAAATTTGCAATTTGGCCAATTTCACGAAAATTAAAAAGTATGACAATTTCAAAATAAGGTCCAGAATGAACAATGCAGACATTCCTGGCTCTAAAATAACATTTTCTTTGTTCATCAGTCACATCTCCAGGCCCCTCTGATATTATTCTTGCTTTCTATTTTGAATTTTTATTCAAACAAAAAATAGAAGACATACTATTATGCAGACTACTGTAATACTGTAATAATTGTATAAATAACATCAACCCATTCATGACTGCATATTAGAATGGCTAGTTGGACATTTATTGGACAATGGCATCATTTGTTTACTTTTGAACATTGGCAAAAATCAAACATTTCCCATATTTTGAGCTCCATTTCCAAGTTCTTGTTATAGTAAAATCAATCAAAATAACATCTATTTCTATAATATGTTTTCCATTCAATCAAATGAGACCAAGAAAACGAGAATACAACTATAAATACTATACGAAAATAGACCACAAAGTCGGCATTTTAATTAAAAAAAAAACGGTCGAAATTTTTTTCTCATTATGCACTGCGTGCTCCAGGATTTTTTTTATATGGTGCACACTGACCACACAGACCCATTCTCTCACGTGTGGGCCTACCAGCTTTCTCCTGCTTGATATGAAGCCGCTACAATTTAGGAGTATATATACGTCAAACACTGTACCTCGTAAGACGTATATATACAGCCGCGACAGTCAAAGGGTTAAATTAATTGAAATGGCATTAATCCATTCCAGCAGAATTTCTGGTCTTAGGAGGCACGACAAAATACTTCTGTATGATGCTAATATCAACTCTACGGCTTATTTATATATCACAATTCGTCTAATTTCACCAAAGAATGCATAAAAGGTGCATCATTGTCAGTGTTAAGCATTTCTTCGATGTCAGCTTCCTGTATCTCCATTAGCACATAGTCAAGATGAGTAAATAGAATTGTCAATGCTTATTGCTTGGCTACGTTTATTCTGTTAGTGGGTTTGATCTGTGAAGGACATCAGAACATAAGAAAGGAGGAACACTGCAGCAGGCCTGTTGGCCCATACTAGGCAGGTCTTTTACAATCCTTCCCACTAACAAAATATTTGCCCAACCCAATTTTCAAATGCTACCCAAGAAATAAGTTTTGATGATTCTATTTACTCGTTACGCAAGTCTTGTTCAAATCCAACCCCTCTCGCTCATGAATTTATCTAACCTAAATTTGAAACTACCTAACGTTTTAGCTTCAATAACCCTACTAGGCAGACTGTTCCACTCATCAACTACCCTATTTCCAAACCTATACTCTCCTATATCCTTTCGAAATCTAAACTTATCTAATTTGAATCCATTATTGCAGGCTCTTTCTTGAAGAGATATCCTCAAAACCTTATTTATATCCCCTTTGTTAATACCCATCTTCCACTTGTACACTTTGATCATGTCTCCCCTCATTCTTCGTCTTGTAAGTGAATGTAGTTTAAGAGTCTTCAATCGTTCTTTATATGGAAGATTTCTAATGCTATGTATTAATTTGGTCATTCTATGCTGGATGTTTTCTAGCGAATTTATATCCATTCTGTAATATGGAGACCAGAACTGGGCTGCGTAATCTAAGTGAGGCCTTACTAATGATGTATAAAGCTGTAAAATAACCACTGGACTTCTATTGCTTACACTTGTACATATAAATCCCAGTAATCTGTTTGCTTTGTTACGTACACTTAGGCACTGCTGTCTTGGTTTAAGATTGCTGCATAGGCACTGCTGTCTTGGTTTAAGATTGCTGCATACCATAATCCCCAAGTCCTTTTCGCAATCTGTATGGCTAAGTTCTACGTTATTTAAGTGATGAGCACCAGGGTTATCGACACTCCCGAGCTTCAGAACCTTGCATTTATCTACATTGAACTGCATCTGCCACTTTCCTGACCAGGAATTGAGTTTGTCTAAATCCTCCTGAAGTTCTGTGACATCTACGTTTGAATCAATTATCCTACCTATCTTTGTGTCATAGGCGAATTTGCTCAAATCACTAGTAATTCCCTCAAGGTCATTGGTATATACAGTGGTCCCTCAATAATCGTCCATAATCCGTTCCTGGAAGTGGGACTATTATCGAAATAGATTTTCGAATCAATTTTCCCCATAAGAAATAATGTAAATGCAATTAATCCGTTCCTGACACCCAGAAGTATTAAAACAAAATTTTTTTTTACATGAAATATAGATGTAGTACATAAACAATGCAGTGGCACATGATGAATGAAACATTAACAGAATAGCACTTGCCTTTATTGGCGATTCTTCTTTCTGTATGGAAGACTGAAGGAGACAGATTGGATTATTTACTGTTTGGAAGGGGAATCCCCTTCCATCAACACCTCGGGTACCAATTGCTTTTCTAGGGTTACTTCTCTTCTGTTTCTTAATGCAACTAGGACCACCTTGAGTCACTGGAGTCCTGTCTCGCAAAAAAAAACTGTCCAGAGAGCTCTGTTTCTGGTGTCTCTTTAAAACTTCCCTAAAATGGGCCAAGACTGTCACTGTACAAGTTGCCGATATGGCTTGCAACATTCTTCTTAGGGTGATGTTTCTCCATAAATCTTTCCATCCTACCCCACATTTCAAAAATCTCCTTAATTTCTGAAGAAGGCACCTTCTTCCTCCTCTGCAGCAAGATTCTGAGCTGCGATCTGTTGCTTTTCCTGCTGAAGCTCTTGTAGCTCCTCAGTGGTTAGCTCTTCACTGTGGTCCTCCACCAACTCTTCCACATCCTCCAAACTCGCATCCAACCCCATGGAACTCCCCAGTGCGACAATAGAGTTCACAACTGACATAGGCTCATCGGGGGCTGCCTCAAACCCTTCAAAATCCTTCTTGTGGATACAGTCTGGCCACAATTTTCTCCAAGCAGAGTTCAAAGTCCTGGTAGTCACTCCCTCCCAAGCCTTACCTATAAGGCTTACGCAATGGAGAATACTGAAGTGTTCTTTCCAAAAATCTCGTAGGGTCACATGAGTGTCAGAGGCCACATTCAAGCACCTTTCAAACATTGCTTTGGTGTAGAGTTTTTTAAAGTTTGAAATGACTTGCTGGTCCATGGGCTGGAGGAGAGGAGTGGTATTCGGGAGCAAGAACTTTACTGTAATGAACCCAAACTCCTTCAGAATTAGGTCATCCAAGTTTGGAGGATGAGCAGGTGCATTGTCCATTACTAGGAGGCACTTGAGATCCAATTTCTTTTCCAGGAGGCAATTCTTCACGCTAGGGCCAAACACTTGATTGAACCACTTGAAAATTTCCCTTGTGACCCATTCCTTACTATTAGATCTCCAAAACACACACAATTTACTCTTCATAACATTGTTTTTCCTGAACACTCTGGGATTTTCAGAATGGTACACTAGTAACGGCTTCACTTTGAAATCCCCACTAGCATTAGTACAGAACATTAGCGTCACCCTGTCTTTCATAGGCTTGTCCTGGCAGCGCCTTTTCTTCCTGAGTAATATAGATCCTCTTTGGCATTTTCTTCCAAA